CGCTCCTCTCACCTGATCTCTGTATGTGCCTTTCTAACCTTCATCTAGGAATAAGGTTATTAGGGTGTTTCACAGTATCTAGAGTTTCTTCCAAAATCTGAGGCGTTACCAACGCATAGTGAGGCAATCATGAAGACAGAGGAACAAAAGAGAGTTCCAGCAGATCAAAAATAACTTAGCTCAAAGCTCCTTTATTTTCCAGATTCTTAACTGTCTCTTGCTAGAAACAAATTTCARTAAAGGCGAGGAGCCTCTGTACTGCTACTTTTATTGTCTTTGACGTGAGAGGATATACAGAAATGTCCTGTGGAGTGAGATAATCTCTTCTCAGAGGAGTAGATGTCTTGTTTGGTGGCCCAGAGAGGATTCCTCTGGACATTTCGGTCTGTTCTCACCCCGGACATCGCTGCAGGTCTCACCTCAGCTGGTGTGTCAGGAGGKGGCCAGGAGGTTTCTGTGCTGTGGCTGCTGCATGACCCACAGCAAGACAAATCTTACAGCTTAGGAACAGGCTGCTTCTCAAGGCAGCATTGGAAGCATGGCGCAGCATCTCTAAGTAGATTAGAAACATGGGTTGTTCCTATATCTGGCCTGAGAGCTGTCCCAGCACACAGGGGGTGATTTGGGTCTATGATGTTCAGGRACCATCATTTCCACATGAATATGGCAATTGCGTTAATGTTGGAGCTACCGAAATGTGGGTGAAAAAGGGACCATGGAGCATCTTACAGGCAGGAGTACGTGGATTTTGTTTGACTGCACCTGAAGGAATGAGTAGACAGTATACATTGGCAAAACCCAAGGCAAATTTTATCATAAGAGATCATGGCTTAGATTAATCCTGCGTTTATAGCATGAAACTTGTGCAGGGAGTTACAGCGGCCAGCACACGGCCCTCAAACAGCGGGCACGGAGCCCCCCAGCCGCCCTGGGGCCAAGGAGCAGCCAGGGGAGGCGGGACCCGCTGCCGCCGTGGGCCCCGCAGCCCCCGGCGCCGCCATGGCAACCCGCGACCCGCGCGGCCCCTCCCCCGCCGCCGCGCGTTCTCGCGAGACTCGGCGGGGCCGGCGCGCTGCGGCCGAGGCGCTCGGGGCCCTTTCAAACGCAGCGGCAGCGGGGGCGGCCCCGGCCCCGGCATGGCGGACAACGACAGGGCCGAGGCCGCGCGCGGCGCCGAGGAGGCCGCCGCCAGCCAGCGGCCGCCACAGCAGCAACGGCAACCGCCGCAGGGCGAGGCGGCGACGGGCACCGAGAGCGGCGGGGGCAGCGCTAACGGCGTCAAAATGTGTGTGCGGGGCCGGGCGGGGGGCGCGGGGGCYGCCTAGGCCGCGGCGGGGACAGGCCCTGGCCTCCTCCTCCCTCTCCTCCTCTTCCTCCTCATCCTCCTCCTCCCCCGCGACCCAGCTCCGCCCCCACGGAGAGCGGGGCGCCCGGGGACGGCGCCGCCCGCCGCCTTGGGCTCCGCCGGGGCGCGCGGGGGGCCGCGGGGCCGGGGCCGGGCGGCCGGGGCGGCGGCGGCTCCCGCTGCAGCCGCAGGGAAGAAGCGCTCCGGGTGTTTCCGTCTCCCCTGTTCACGTTTCCCCCTCTTGCTCTGCTGGTGTGGTTGAAAAGCCTGTGAGTTAATCGTTATTTTCTTGGGAATGGGGAGAAAGCCCTGCAGCGGCTTACTAGAAAGAGCACATATAGACTTTGTCTTTAGATAGTTCAGTTGTCCGTTGTGGAATATGTAAACCATGCTCCGTGTCAGTGGAGATTAGTGTAAGGGAGTTGAGCCTAAAACATTATCTCATAAGAATTAAACAAGTGGCCTCCTCGGGCTTTTGTTCTTGGTGTCAGGCTGCCGAGCTTGTCCTCCTCTACCTGARCTAGGTTTTGGGCTCGTTGCTGGAATTTCAGCTTCTGTTTTTATCTCGTGCGGATCTTGGAGGGAAAGTTCRTTTTGCGGCAGGCTTAGTGTGGCAGTACAGCAATGCCGCCGAGATCGGCGGGATTTGGACGTGTTCCAAGCTCCTGAAGTCTGGTACTGTTGTGCTAGAAGTATCTACAAGGTAAAGTTCTATATAAAGCTATAGGATTAAAGGCATATTTCACACCTTTACTTGGCTCCCTATAAAAATTATATGTTATAAATCTTGCATTATTACAAGACATTCTTTATTTCTGGTCCTAGCCCACAGGTTCCAAGCTACACAAATTATAGCTTGTGTTTTCACAGGGCGATCATTACCCTTTTGCAACTTCAAGGGATGTAATATTTCACTATCTTTTTAGGTTGTTACTGTTAAAACAATTTATTTCTCTATATCCTTACCTCTGCCATTACTTTATTTTATTTCCATTCAAAACCAAGTATAAGCAAAAGAAAAAATCCCTATCCGTCCTGCATGATAGAAGTCACAACTTTAAGTTTGAAAATAATGAAGGTTTTGGTGACAGAATTTCMCATCTTATTCTTTCAATACAGTTGCCAGTCCTCCCCAAAGCACATGGGCAAAGGATTAATCTGTCAGTGTGGAGATAAAATTTTTGTAACCAGGTTTGTTTARCACTTGGATTAAATTGGATAGGAATCTTGATCCCAACTTAAATTTCCTTTGGTTTGCTGTATTGAGGAACAGAGCTGGGGTACGAGCTTTAGAACCACACACTTGGCTGTGAAATTTCTTTAATTTGCTGTTCACTGATCTTAGAGGCAATAGGGCTACTTGTGAGCAGAGAAATAGAAGGTTGTACAAAAATTAGGACTCATTTTTTTTTTCAGATTGATTTATCTTGTGATGCGTGCTTTGGGGACTTCTGTTTTTGTGTTTGTGGATGAAAGGTTTGCCTTTGATTTCCAAAACTCTTTTGGAAGTTTCAAGCAGTTACTCTTCAAAAGGTGGAGCCCCACCTTTGGAAACTTAGCTTTTCCTGTGCATTACACGGAGCATCTAGATGCCATTTCCTAATCCTTTAAGCAGGAAGGAGCTTGGAAGACTAATAGGAATCTGTGGATTTAATCTTAAAACTTAAGGAAGAACTCAGATTTTACTTGGGGTGAAAGATTTACATTCACAGATGGAACTGAATTTGGAAGAACTGATCTGTCTGGAGAACTGATATTCTGCCCTTTCTTCTCCTTGCTGTCCCCCAGTATTTTTGCAGCTGCCTGATTCCCCCACYGTTTCGCTCCTTACGTGGCCATCCAAGAACTGTCCTGCCACAAAGCACAGRAGGGTGTGAGGAGGGATGTTGTAGAGGGAGTTTGGAAGATGCTTGAATGTGTTGTTGATTTTGAATGTTGTAAATTGTTGTAAACTCGGAACAGTGTCCTCGCACAGCTCAGTAGAGAGTTTTATATTMATCCGATTGTAAACATACAGAACACAAAGTTCATATCATATGAATGCTTTATTATTAGGGAAGTGATCATGGAAAAAAAAGTGATACGTTTGAAGTTGCTCCTCCTAAAAAATGCCCCCTTTTGAGTACATAACAAATCTAGCTGCATGGAAGGTGCACGTGCACTGAGTGCGAGAATGTTGCTTGCTATTTTGTTAATAACTTTGCAAAGAGAGCTGGAAATTTCAGTAAATTAAAATAAATTATATAACTGGATATTGAAGCTGCAAAACTGAAATATGTTTGGCTTATTTTTACACCTGGATACATCCTGAAATGTCAAAACTAGATAAGAACTTTAGTTTTGTTTGGACTTCTGAAATGTGGGATAAGTTGTGAAGAGTAACATAATTCAAGAAAGAGAGCTCATAATCAGTCTCTTTGACAGTCCTGTAGGACACTTGAGTAATTGTTCTAACTCAAGTAGCTAACTCTTAACTTTTTAGAATGAAAGTTTGTGTAAAAGGCCTTTTAAAGTTTCCCTTTATGCTGCAGTAAGATTCTAATGAGACATTCATACATCTAAGAGACATATGTTTAATACATCACATTTTGTAACTTTWTCGCTGGAGCCTTTCAGTTCAGGGGTTCAGCTCTCTTGAAAGTAAAAAGTTGGGCCCCTTGATCCTCTGTTGGCTTCCTAAATCACGTCTTGATAGCAACCCTTTCAAGAGAGCTGAAGAGATTTGGCTCCTCTTTTGGGTGTTTCATCTGATACTGTTCAAAGCGTATAGTTTCATCAAAGTTGAGAAATGGACTCCTTTGAAAAATTTTCTTGCATTTTTAATCTAAAAATAAAGGACATTTTGAAAGAAAAACTGTTCTTTTTTTTTTTTGAAAGCCTAGGGGCCAAATTATTTTTTGTTGTTTTTAACGGATAATATTTGATTACTTAATTAGATACATGCAGATAATAAACGTGCAGACCAATAGATGCAGAGCATGTCTTACTGCACCTATTTTCTAAGCATTTGTCTTATTTTCAAATTATACCGTTGTTAACKAATAAGAATAAATGTACATTTGTGGTTCTTAATTGAATTTTAATTTCTATTTAAAAACACTCTGGCACAAATGGACAAAAATGATTGATGAGGTAAACAAAAAGTAATTTGCTTATTAGAGTTTTTTATATATTATTATGTTGAAAGAAATATATCAAGCTCGTCTGTGAATTAGAGCTGAAACAATCTCAATTCTGTGGTGAATGTTGTGCAACTTAGCCAACTTGATGTGAAAGCTATTAATGCACCAAAGAGTGGGTGCAGTGGGTTGTTTTTCATGTATGTCAGTTGTTTTTTAATGCTTGTAGTAGTTTCATAATATTGTCCTGCTGAGTCTTGAAACTCTCCATGGCAATGGAATGTAACTGAAGTAGTGAGAACTGAAGTAGTGAGATACAAGTTTTGCAATTACAGTACAACAAATCTCCTGTATCATATATTTTTGTTCTAAATAAAGTAGTATATCTTGAAATAGTACTTTTTAAAAAAAAACTTTGAAAAGCTAGATTCGTCATTATGGGATTTCTAATAGCATAGAAAATATTCTAATTATCAATGCAGAACTAATATTTTTGGTGTCCTCTGTTGTGTCTTTGTTTTATGTATTTTTTTCAAATGTAGGGATAATGATGAGACAGCAAAAGAAGAGAAAGCACCTATGAAAGAGAAACATGTTCCGAAACCGAAGGCAATCCCTTCTCTTGGGAACAAGAATAGATTCCATCCATATTCAAAGGAGAAGAATGTCAGCACTGGAGAGAAGAAAGCTACTAATCGTAATAGAGTTTTCATTAGCAACATCCCATATGACATGAAATGGCAAGCTATTAAAGATCTTATGAGAGAGAAAGGTAACTTACTCTTGATAGTGCCCTTAATTATAGAGAGGGGAAGAGCTTACATAAAGYATATATAGTCCTTTGAGCCACACAGATTTGTTATTTTTTTCTTTTATTTCTTCATTTATTTATTTATTTGGGCTTTTACTTGGTATATCTCTCTTCCTTCCCCCTCTTTCATCCAAGACAATTGCATTGCAGGATAGGATGGGTAAACGAAGTGTTCACTATCTTCTGCCATTCTAGTGTGACAGTAGAGAGTATATGCATGACTTCTTAAAGGGATTGTGTTTTGTCTAGTTGTAGTCTTTGTAGATTTTTTTTTAAGGCCTACTATATTTAAGCAACACTTATAGTGTGTTAACATACGAAAAATAAAGGGTGTCTTTTAAAAGTTGTTTTGTATTTCTTTAGTGGAATCTGGCTGTCGAATTAACTTTTGTCTGCATTGTCACTACTGCCATGACTGTTTGTCTGGAGATTTATATTAAAAGCTTGTTTCTATTGTTGCAGCTTTCATAGAGTAATCTTAATACCCAAACTCTTTATTATGAAGTTTGGAGAAAATAATCCTAATATATGAATTCAATAAAAAGTTAGTCCTATATTTTTCTCGAAAATATTGATTCTTCGAAAGCAATGCAAAGCACACTTGGGTTCTAGGCTGTGAAAATGCAAAAAAAAATCCTTTTGTCACTGCTGGTGTATCTGTTGTAAGGTGACACGACTATTTGATTGGTTTATTTACTGAAAGTTCCTACATTAGAAAGTGAGTGGCTTGCTGTGATTTATTTGATGTGTAAATTTGGTTATTATTGAAGGCAAACTTATGATTGAAGACACTCAGGTAGAAAGTCACCTTAAAACAGGTGTTGTGAGTAGTATGATAAATTAACACTTTTCAGTGAATGTTGCTGTTTCATTTGTTAGGTTAAGGGACTATGTGTATTTTTGAATTTGTTCACCAACTATATCATACTGGCCAAAATATGATCTGTAGTATGAATTAGGTTCAATATAGTTGTTTGGTTTTAGCTTTGAGAATGTGGCTGCTGAATATTTCTGATTTCTGAAAATTAGCTAAATTACATAGCCATTGACAGGAGGTATGTTGGTCTGGTTTTGATTGTTGGTGAATAATAGGTGCTTCTCTGTAGAGTTGTGCACAGGGGCACAGTAAAGAAAGCTACTGGTGTTTAAATGCATTGTCTCTTGGTATTTTCCCTTTGTATGTCTTATGTAGTTGGTGAGGTTACATACGTGGAGCTGTTTAAGGATGCTGAAGGAAAATCAAGGGTAAGTGCCGTGGGCAACAATCTGCTAGAGGTTTAAAAGTTCCTCAGCAGTTTTATTTTTGTATAATATCTGTACCAGTATTGGAAAGTAAGTTTCATTTTTACATTAATTTTCATTATGATAGCCCTGAGAGTTCTATATTAGAAATAGGCTGACACTTCTATGCAACTCAAACTAGCTGGCTCTGAAGGACAATATTTTGTAAATGTTAACAAAGGGCATTTAAATAATGCTTTTTAGCCAACATGTTTGTTTTGTTACAAATCTCTTTCATGTAATTGCCTATAAAGGACATGCAATTAATCACTGATTGGATTTAAAATTTGTTAGTGTAGTATTTTTGAGGCCAATAAGTATGAAAATCTAAGTTAAGAATACACTGTTTGAAGTGCCCGATTTGACAGCTTTGCAGGGTTGGTACTCTGAACACTGGATTAATGTACTTGCTTTTTTAAAAACTAAATGGATGGAGATGGTTGGTAGCCAGCAGCGTGCCAGCAATAGGCACCGCGAGTGGAGATTGGTTAAAGCTCCTTTGTCTTCTTTAAAATAGTCAAAAGTTTGGCCGATAGCAGCTCAAACCTGCAGTGAGAACATGAGAAATACAGGTTTGAGTCCTAGCTGAAGTTGTAACAATTGTTGTAAACAACTCTCTTCAATGCTTGTTAAAACTAAAACATGCTTTCAGCTTTGCTTCACTTAGAGCGAGCCTAAACTCTTTATGACAAGGATTTTGGTGCAGTCAATAAGGTTGTTTTCTTACCAAGTCATCTGTCAAATGTACTAGCAATACTGAAGAGGTATGCAGACTCCTTGTTCATCATACTGGTGTATTTGATGTGTGTGGATTTGAATTTTGTAGTTAGATGTTAGCTTTTATGACACAATGAGTGTCCTGAGCAATTTTTGGTTATGTTTTGGGTTCTTTTTCTTTCTTTCTTTCTTTCTTTCTTTTTTCTCTTTCTTTTCTTATTTTTTTTTCTTTTTTCACTTTTTTTCCCCTTTCTCCCTGCTCCCTTTCCCTTCTCCAGTTGTCTTTACATGGATCTGTGTGGCACTTTTCTGTTGTCCAATTCTGGTTTGGCTCAAAGAGAATAAAATATAATGTATTCTCTTCAATTTCAGTGCTTTGTATGTTAAAGGAATAGGAAAAATCAGCTTGGCTACATGTAAAGAACATATTATTTCTGAGGCTGAAAATAACTTGATGAATAGTTACTTAACAGTGAGCTGGGATCTTTAACTGAAATGTTAAATAATCTGGTCTGTGTGTTGACTGACTTTCTTTTTTTCCTCTTTCTTTACATATGATGGCAAATCATTATGGATGTAGGGTTGTGGGTAAGTTTCTTTTTTATTTTCAGAGTGTAGAGATACATTGCTATCCAAATAATCTGTTAATTTTAACATTTTAAACTTTGTTTTAATATTCCAAATATTTTATTCCCTCTAAGCGTGGTTGAATTCAAAGATGAAGATTTTGTTAAGAAAGCATTAGAAGCTATGAACAAGTACAATCTTAGTGGAAGACCCCTGAATATTAAAGAGGTATGAATATTGCTGCTGCTCTTAACTTGAAATAGTGAGGTCGCTCTAAATACTGAAATGATGTTACAGTTTTCTGAGTGTAATTTCCAGTTTACTTATTTTCATATATTTTTAATGAACTAAAATGCCTGTTGGCTTGCAGAAAATCTTGATACTATGTCACATGAACTGACAAAAAGTCTGTGTCCTAAAGTGAAAATAATCAAATGCCGTCTTTCTTTAAAACACTCTTCTCTTTAATTTTATATTCTTACCTGAGAATTGTCTGGTGCTATTATGTTCAGATTATTTACTTGTTTCAAAAAAAAAAAAAAAAAGGAGGAAGGGTTTGGGAATAGGGTACTTGAGTGGATTGGGAAGTGAAATTTATGACAGCTTTTTTTGTAGCGTTGTAGCATATAATGGTGTCTTATGCAGTTCTTTATGTCCACTTAAAATTATAATAATGATATTAACACATCAAAGAAAACGAATTAATTCAGTTCTTGGAAGAGAGTACTAGACTGACAGTCCTTTAGATTGAAATCTTTTCTACTTGTCCATAGGCTAGGTACAGCATGTGAAGTGGCAGTGCACGCTTCCTCTACAAGTGCTTTGCCAATATGCCTCAACCCTCATCTGAAAGGACCCACCTCTAGAGGTGAGGGAATTAGGTCTCCATGCTAATACAGTTCTTGATCCCTCTCACACGGACAAGGATGTTAGTTGATTATTTTGATGGGTTTATGTAGAAATTAAATAGTACCTTTTCTTTTTACTGGTCATGCTATTGGTGACTAAGCTGGCTTTATTTTTGAACATTTTGCAGGACCCTGAAGGTGAACATGCTCGTAGGGCATTACAGCGTGTAGGAGGACAGTTTCCAGGAGGACATGGACCTGATATGACACCTGGATTAATGAATTTGCCACCTTCTATTCTCAATAATCCAAACATTCCTCCTGAGGTTATCAGTAACTTGCAGGCAGGCAGGCTTGGGTCCACTATTTTTGTCGCTAATGTAAGTTTAACTATCAATTTTTAAATTGGTATTTGATCTTCCTGAAATATATTTCATTCCTGCAAAACTGATTTTTCAAAGGAAGTGAGAAATGTTCATAATTAGTGTATTTGGCTAACAAGTGGGATATATAGCCAGATTTTGGATGTGAGAGATATGTTGAACTCTCAATGTTGATATACACTTTTAATTACTTTATAAAGTACTTATTCTGATCAAGTGATGACTGCACATCTTTTCACTGCGTAATTACAATGGTATTACTCTGCTGTATTTTTTTAAAAATTCAATACACCATATTGAATACTGTACCATACCAGTATGACATGTTATTTTGCTAATTACTTTAGATTAACTTAGTTATAATCTATCTTAAATCTCCGCATATAAAGAGCGAATGAAATGAACATCCCCACAAATATATCCAATGGGGGACACACAGAGTATAGCTGCTCATAAAATTGACAGGATGGGTTTTTTCTAGCATGTTAATTTGAAAAGTGAAATAGGTATGCAGAGTATAAATTGTTGCTTTTAAGTTAAAGTTTTTGTTAGACTTCCTTATAGTATATTTATATATATATATATTAGAAAATTGTAGCTATTCATGAATAATAAGCATTTTGAGAACCAGAAACCTATTACAATAAAGAAAATCTCTTCCAAATTTAATAACAGAATAGAAACGTGCACTGAAATTGCTCATGTGTTTTTATACGTAAGCTTGACTTCAAAGTTGGCTGGAAGAAACTGAAGGAGGTTTTCAGCATTGCTGGAACTGTAAAACGTGCAGACATCAAAGAAGACAAAGATGGCAAGAGTCGTGGAATGGGAACAGTTACATTTGAACAAGCAATTGAAGCTGTTCAAGCAATATGTATCCTTGATTTAGAATAACTGGTCATGTATAGATTCATCTTTGGTTACTGGCCTATAATTAGTTTTGCAAATGGTGCTTATTTGTGTTGCAGCGTATAAAGATTAGAGTATAATACTCAAATTTTTTAAATTAATTACTGAATTAACTGCCAAAATTTAAAAAGGTGTTTCTGATAATGTTGGAACAAACTTAAAATTAAGAACATGACATGTATGAAACCAACTTTTATGTTCCGAGTACTTTATATACCTTCTACCACAATTTTAAGTTATTTTTAAGATTGAGCTTTTAAAGTGGAATCTAAAGTGGATTTTTGATCTGTCATTTTACGGATTAGACAAGGAAAGATAAGGCTGCTAAAAATGGTGAGACAATGATCATAATTTGTTACAGTGATTTCTGAAAAAATGAGTTGCCTTTTGTAGTTAAATTTCTTGACTTGCATTTCTTTAGCTATGTTCAATGGACAGTTCTTGTTTGATAGACCCATGCATGTAAAAATGGTAAGTTGTTTACATTTCTTCTTGTCTTRTATATCTCTGTTAAACATTAAAAAGATTTTAGCATAATATCCTTGCCTTTTTTTTTGAATCAGGATGACAAATCGGTTCCTCATGAAGATTTCCATGTTGCAGACAGCAAAGCTCCTCACTTACCTCGTAAGTACAGACTCTTCTCTTTTGGGAGAGCTGCTCCTTCCCGGCCCCCCTGTTCACTYTAGAAATAGAGTCTTGGAATGTTTTTGGTACTACTTTGTGCTTACTTGTATAGATAGTTGTATGGTCTGATGATACTTACTTTGATTTTTTAAGGTGGTCTTGGTGGCATTGGTATGGGACTTGGACCAGGTGGACAGCCCATCAGTGCGACACAATTGAGCATGGGTGGTGGAATGGGCAGTATAGGTCCAGGAGGTAAATCTGTGCTCCTAGTTTACAAGTTACAGAACTTTATAATTGTCATTTCTGTGTTTGGAAGAATTATATATTCCTGTCAAAATAAGCCTTGTGTATGGTGCCTTTGAAATGTTAACTACTTCTGCATTTATAAAAATCTAATGGGAACTTAACTGTACTTTAAATGGTGTTTGTCTCTCTGTTTTAAAGGTATGGGAATGGATGGCCCAGGATTTGGTGGAGTGAACAGAATAGGAGGCGGTATGTGCAGTGAAGTTCTTCTGTGTTAAGGTGTYTTGGTTGTTTTCTTTGTTCCCCTTGTTTTATTTTATCTATTGCATAGAAAACACTTTGTCTTATTATACAGGACTTGCTGGCTTTCGTGGGATGGAAGGAATGGCTCATATGAGAGGATTTGGAGTTGGCCGAATGGGAGGCAAGTGAATATTTTTCCCATTTTACTTTTTACTGCTTATCTGTGAGTCTTATGGAAGCCCCTTACAGAGAGTTGCATAATGGAGGTCTGACTTCAGAGGAGTTGTGAACAGTGACAGGAGTGGAGGCATAGGAGCTGACACGGGAGGCATGGCAGCTGGCATGGGAAGTAGTAAATGACTTCTGACTTCTGCTTTAAGTTCATTTCTCTTTCAACAAGCAGCTGAAAAAACAAGTCCAGTATGAACAGTGGTTTTAATACAGAGATCAGAATATTACCATTTTGTGCTTTGTTCCCTACAGAAATGTTCCGTGGTGGAATCGGAGGAAATATAGACAGAGATTTTGTGCGTAGTGAGATSGCCTTGAACCGTGGCTTCGGCGATCCTTTTGGAAGAATGAGTATGACAACGATTAAATTTTCTTGTGGCAAATCACAGCATAACATTAGAAGAGCTTTAGTAATGGACAAACCAAAAAAATGCCTGGTTTCATTTGGTCTTCTTTCCTTGTCCTTCACCATTGTTACTCTAAGGGAGTAATCTAAGTGTTCATTATAGACACCTTCGAAGATGGTTATTAAAGTATGGATTTATTGTCCTTTTTTTCTTTTCCCTCTCTGTAAAATATAAGTAAAAGAGTGATTTGAATAAATTATTTAGCTCCATGCAATTATCAGATTTTCTGTAGTTTGGGTATTAAAACATACTTTTATGAATCCTGAATCCTGCCAATCCACGCCATCTGGTGTGCTGTATTATGATTTTTTATTAAGGAAACTGGACAACTTCTCAATCTCATTTTTTTACATATGTTGTTCAACATTTACTATGCTAGATGAGATGACAAAAGCTTGATGCAGTTTGTTTTTTTTATTTTTAAACTGACGTTTTATATCTTCTAAAATACTTAAAATACCAGGTGTGTTACTGTATGAATCACTGCATGTATTGTTAGACTTTGTATTGCATCAGCTTTAGTAAGATTTTTTTCTCCTGACAAAATCATTTTTAATTTTTCCAAAGTACTTGCATATTTAAAAGAAAAATATGTTTCTCTTTTCTTTCTCTGTGTAGGTGGCGGAATGGGTGGTATGCCTGGTAGAATGGGAATGGGCATGGATCGGATGGGTTCTGGTTTTGATCGAATGGGACCGGCCCTGGGTGGAGGCCTGGACAGGAACATTGATATGGACCGAGGATTTGTAGCTGGCCCAATGGGARGCGCTGTGAGAGAGAGATTAGGCTCTAAAGGCAACCAGATATTTGTCAGAAATGTAAGCATTGGGATACATAGAAAGCATTGGCTTATTTTTTGTGCATGTTTGATTTCATGCTTTTCCTATGTAATATTTAATGTTATTAATACTCCTTTTTATTCTAGCTTCCTTTTGATTTGACTTGGCAGAAGCTAAAGGAGAAATTCAGTCAATGTGGTATGTATGTGAATCTCATCTCTCCTAAATTCCACTGACTTCATGGTCTATATGATGTATATTAGACAAGAACAGTAGGATGAGGTTGTGGCCTTAACCTAAATAAGTTTGCCAGCCTAATCCTTCTTGCTTTCATGAAAGTTACAGAAATTCTTTCTAGCCATGTCTTAGACATGATTCTGCAGTATGAAACCAAGACACAACACGGCCTGTTGGCTTTCAGTGCTCAGATATTACACACTTTAATCCATTCCATTAATAAAACTTCCCTTTGAGGTGTTTATTTGTTCATTTATTTTTTGAAGCAGGTGTTAATGTATTTTTTTTTTGTTGATACATAGTGTATAACTGTGTGTATTTTAAGACAAATGCCTGCAGGGGTGTGGGCTTCCTCCGGGTTWTACCTCCTGCACTGAAATGATACTSCAGAGTATCAGAGTACCACAGAGGCAGAGTTGTTAATTCTGCCAAAGTGTCAAATACATTTTTAAGAAGGTAAGTGGTCCTGATTAACATATTTGCAGGTGGGCTATAATGCTTCCCTTTTCCTTAAAAAAATACATTTTTTTTATGTAAGATACAGAATTTCTTGAATATCCAGTAATTTTCTAATTTAGAAAAGTTGTCTTTCTACAGAAATGAATGAAAAGTGACGCTTGGATGTAGAAATATATATCTTTTCAGAACTCACTTTCAGAATKGAAAGTTTTAGCAGGCTTACAGGACAGCTTTGCTTATTTTGGAGAGACAGGAAAGAGAAATAATTTTAAATATAGTACTGCTATCTAATAGTGAAGACAGTCTTCACACAGTCATTTGCAAATTTGTTACCAGTTAGAACTTGCAGTTAAAACTATGCTGACTTTCGGGTGTTGAAATGTTGTGTAGGATTTGAAGCTTTTGTTGCTGAATTACAGCCCATCTAGTGCTCCATCTTTTCAGAGTGAAAATTTTTTTTACTGCCTTCAGGACTGTACTGCTGTTAATGTAATTCCTGGAGTTGCAAGTCCRTATCCTAGTCTCATGCTAATGATTCCACTCAACTGAAGCATTATGTAAAAGTCTGCCCCATAACTCAGGCTCAGTCTTTAACCACATGTGGTTCCCTAATCTTGGTTAACAAACTCATCCATGCAATCAACAAGACCTTGTTAATTGTTGATTGTGCTGCAGAAGTCTTCATATGTTACTTGYCTTGTTTTTTTCCCCTTCTCCCTTAATATGGATAGACAGGTGAACATAAAAACCTTATGCAGAGCATTTAACAGTTCTTAGCCATTTTTAGCTACAAAGTATTTAAAACACATTCTTAAGGAAGTTCAACTTCTTGTGCAAGCACAGTTGTAATATCAAGTGATTTATATTGAATATCTGTATTTTTGTGAAGTTACAGATACCCTGTTAACACCATTTTTTTTTTTTTTTTATAATATACTTACATTTATACTCAGGTTATTGTTTTCTAGAAATGACTTTTTGAGATAATTGAGATTTTGCTGTAATTATTCAGCAGCTAACATGCAGCAATTATTTTTAAGAATGATAAGCACAAATATAAGTAACAGTCTGGATATCAGTATCATGAGGGGCTATAAAGAATGTGTCTCTACGTTTGCAGTTTCTTTCAGTGAAAGGCCAGTTTCATATTATATGTTTTAAAAAGCAATGTATTTTAGGGAGACTTGCTTGTTCTTACCAGCATTTTGGGACTTGAGAGTAGTGCGCTACAAATTATCCTAATCAAAAAATCATTTGCTCTAAGCACTGAATCTTTTCTTTGCTATGAAAGTGTTGGTATTCTGTGGTGTAAAAATACTGCCTTATGAGCAAATAATCTCCCTGTGAGGAAACAGAGAAGATAACTGGCCTTTGCATGTTGCTACTTCTCCCCTTTTAAGTGGTAACTTKACTATTTTTCAGTTTCTAATCTTGGTATGTAACTTCTTGGCATAATTGATTGCTGTGATTTCTTGGTATTTTACTGTAGTGAATGTGGTGGATTAGACTGAACCAGAATTCAGTTTATGGATCTTAATAGTCACGTTTTGGCAGGGTAGCTGAATGAAACACAAAACAGCCTAGTAGGAAAGGTTATTTTCAAAGTTGAGGTCAAATATAGCCATACTTTGACCTACTAGAAAAGAAATAGGGGGCCTTCATTTGGACTGTTTGCTGCTCTTTTGATCCATGACACCTTTTCTGAATGGTCATTGGTCTGCAAGTACTAATTTTATGCCTCTATAGATTATATTTTAAAAGCCTTTTAAAATATTCTTAAATAATTCTTTTAGTTGTTGGTTCATGGAAGCCTAACAATAACTGCTGTTTAACTTATTTACTCAGGTCATGTAATGTTTGCAGAAATAAAAATGGAGAATGGAAAGTCAAAAGGTTGTGGAACAGTCAGATTTGACTCACCAGAATCTGCTGAAAAGGCCTGTAGGATAATGAACGGCATAAAAATCAGTGGCAGAGAAATTGATGTACGCTTGGATCGCAATGCGTAACTTAAACGTACATGTTCAGGAACATTCCTATGTCTGTTTAGCTTCTCTATCCTATTAAGTCATTTTTAGTAACACTGTATGCTTACAAAAGCTGTAAAAAGGAACTTTTAAATCCCACCAGCCTTTAACAGTATAGTGTTTMATATACTGTGATATTTGTTAACTGAACCTTACAATGTTTGGTTTTTAAAGACAATTTGCCTGATTTGTTTGTTTGGTTGGTTTTGTTTTTTTAGAGGCACTGAGCTACCTGCAGGTCCTATTAGACAGTGGGACCTGCTGCTCAGCACCTTTGGAAAATTAGGCCAAGTGTGAATTAGTCATTCAGTTTAAATGAATGGTTATACTGTTTTTAATAAAATAAGCCATTTTCTCTCTGTTAATCTCAAGATTGCATTAGTGGGATTTGTTTAGTGTTTTCTGATTTTTCCCCAGCTTGTATCAACAATGTAATGTAAAAACTAGATGTCTTTTTTTTTTTTTCCGGAATTTTTGTTTTATATGTGCATTGTAGTCATAGCGTAATTCTTGACTTTAAAAGAAAGGGCTCCAAATAGGCTGTGATGTTTTTGTTTTACTTTAGTTCTACTTAATGTTACTTCAACGCCATGAGTTGGTTCTGTAAATAAGACTTAGAGCCCAGTGGGAATTCTGGATTTTTTTTTTTTTTGGACTAAACGAAGAAACTGATCTTTGTCTATTGCTTTTATTTTTTTCCTCAGTATAATCATTTATTAAAACTAGTTACCACAGACCCTTGTAGGATTGTTCCCTATGATGCCAAGTTCATACAAAATTGATACTACAGTAAATACTAAGTACARTACAAGACAGATCGCTCCCAGTTTTTTATCTATTTTCCAGCCATTCAGGTGAACTGCCAGAAAAATAAAAACAACAGAGCAGATGAGGGAAATGGCTGTGTATGTCAAACCACTGCTGTTCACTTCTATGGGTCCTGATGTATTTATGAATGCAGTTTTGATAAACCAAGGTATTCCCAAACACAGCATGTCAAATACGTTGGATCCCACAATGTTAGACATAGCCATATCTCCATTTCCTGCAAAACAAAATGAAATAAATGAGCCTATTTCATTGTATCGTATGAAATTGCCAGACTTTTTTTGAGGAACAGACTGTCAGCCCTTAATTTCTCACAGAGCACCCTTTTCAGACTTCTAGCTTAAGGAACTATAACCATGATTATACAGTGTGTGGTTTTAGGTACCATAGGCATAAAAAGAATTGTCTCTCTAGATCACCAGCATCTGCACAGCTGCACTTAAAATACGTAGTCAGGCAATTATAAAATCCATTCATGTTTAAAATACCATGACCTACAGTTGCGTTTTGTAGTAAGATTGTAACACTTGATCAACAGCAAATCAAACTCATCTGGAATATTTGCCTGGAATACTCCAGAGTTTTTAAATAGCTGAAACACAGCTMCTTCAGGTAAGCCACTTCATTTAGTATTAGTATACTTAAGCTTTTGAAGCGGTAACAACAGTTTGAAGTTGTTTCTTTTCTATAGTTCATTTCAAACATATTCAGTGGAATGGGCCTGAACAGCAAAATCTTTACCTTTCTGAGCCACCAGCACACTTGCAACTGTATCTGGTACACTTGTTCCTGCAGCTAGTAGTGTGAGGCCCATTATGGACTCTGGAACTCCCAGYGTTTCACCTGCAGTTGATAAATGAGGAGAGAAAATGCCAATATACCAAAATTTCACCCAGAGAAATTGCTTTGGGCTTTTGTCTGCTGGTGAAAGGATTAGTAACCATATGGTAATTCCGAAAGGAATCTGCCAGTTAACTTATAGATGAGTTTATATATAGTTGATTTAAAGTGGTTAAAATAAACATCACCTTGTCCTCGTTTTTCAGTTGAATAAAAGGAGAGGGGAAAAATACACAGTATAATAACGGCCATCTTATTTCATAAGCTTTTTTTTTAAAGACTTCGATACAACATCTCCATTGCTCGAGAGAATGCCAGTTAGGAGATGGTTTTTCAGACGCTTTAAAAACTTAAATCTTACCCCTACCCCTACCTGCCCCGCTCTTTAAAACATATAATAATCTTTTATATTTTGGGGCATCTCATGGTTAGTACTTCAAATTCCCATGAAGCAAGCTATTAAAATTACCTGCCCTTTAGAGGAGGAGGAAAAAAAGAGGATATTTTTGTTAGGGAGGAAGGTAGTTGAGATCATCACTRCAGTAATTTGTCAACTTATATGGCTTTAACTTTTCAGTTAAAAAGGTGCAGTTTTTCAGTTCCTTAATGGATTCAGAAGAATCAAAAGAAATAATTATTAAATAGCTCATAAGTGTTTATAATCTGTGAGTTTCCTTTAAATAAATAATTTATAATAAAGAAATTTATAGGTAGAGGGACCAAAAAAGATGAACTTTTAAAACATCTTGCTGGAAAATAATGGTTCATACCAAGTGAACCAAGTTGAAATATGAATTAACTAATCATATACACCAAACATTAGTTTATAGCCCCCTCTCAAGGTTATAATATAGAACTTAAACTCAGGTGAACCTGTTTTCCTTTTCTTTTTTCTTAGATTCATCTTCTAATTATAGAGTGTTCGTTTATTTTTTTTTCCTGGCAATTGACCATAAAGAGAGAATGGTCTTATTTTTTTGACCCTTACTTAAGTTTGTGTATTAGTAGCAATATCCTGCTGTAGTAATCAAAACTTCTTTGCAGGCAACAAAAAGTTGGTGTACTAAATTGGATTCATTCTTGATCATCAAAATTTAGTCCCCAGCTGTGGTACCTTTATGAGATTCTGATAGGCAGTTTATGCAACTATTAGCACCTTTTTGAATGATCTTTCATGGAAAAAATGGATCTGAGAATATATATATATATATATATATGTAAATTTTAGAGTTTTAATGTGTAAATAGAACATATTTGACCTAGATGTAGTGGGACAAAGACTCAGATGCTGCTTGTGATGAATTTGCAAAGTGGACTAACACTAATACACTATCTGAAACTCCAGTGTACCAGTGTTCATATGAATCAGTGCTTTGTCTAGTAGAACAGCAATAACTTGAATTAAATCATGGGAATTCTGTTTTAAAGGCTTCTAGCATTCAAACAGTAAACCACTGCTCTTTAGATACAAGTGAAGAATTATTTGACCAGGGAGTGAACCTGGTGGGTGTTACATCCAGCAATCTATTATTAATTTCTTAAAGGTCTACTGAATGTCAGAGTCTTTTTCTGCACTTAATAAGGAGTTATTCATTGAACTTACTTGAAAACAAGTTTAAGATGCTGAACCAGCAGAATACTTGAGGAGTATTAGTGAGCTATTATAACATGGAAATGGCAGGTTTTGTACAATTTTGTGTTCTTGCATGGAGATTCCTGGATTTTGTTTGTTCCTAAAATTAAAAATCTGATTTTTTACAAGCTGGCTGGAGAAAATGAAACAGGACAGAAAAAAATTGAGGTATTAAAGACTTTTTTAGGGTTTTTTTAATGCAAGTTTGCACCCTTTCTCTCACTGGTAGGAAGACTTAATGTAAAGCTTTTACTGCTTCATACGATGAAGATTTGTAAGAGGTAAACACATGCACAAAAAGAATGGTTAGTAACACGTGACACTAGTTCAAAGCAGAATGGTACACAAATATGGGGATATTTTTTGGCAATTATTTTAATGCCAAGTTTCTCATTAAAGTGTTCAAGAAAATCTACAAGTCTAAAAATAATGGATCTTTTATGAATACTTGAACTGTTAATGCCAGTCCTGGTAGATGCTATTTGTCAAGCTGAAGCTTGACAGGTTTAACACTATATATCTGTTTCACTTCATGAAACAGCTTAATGAGACTGTCTATTTAAATGTAGGCTCTTTTTTTTTTTCAGCTATGTGAAAAAGTTCTAATTCATGTGATGGAGAACAGTCTGAAGCAGCAGGTTTTTCATTAGAGGGAAGAACTAAGCAGTCTGAAATGTTAACTTTTGTGGGTTTAGGGTTTTGTTGCACAGTGAAATACACACTGCTAAGCTCTGACCATCAACTGTGGGAAGAAGTTGYTTAATAGGGAGAAAACTTGCCATTTTTTCAGCGATTCTGGCTAGGGTGATTCCATATAGCAGTAATGCTTTGGGTGCCTACCTGCTATTGTTATCATCCATACGAGAACGTAAGTCATTGCAGAAATCCATGCTGCTGAAAATAAAAATGTCACCATGAACCAGTTCCTCCAAAACTGTCTTCTGCAATCGGGTATAGTCAAATAGAGCAGTGTAATAATTGGAAGTGATAACACCCACAAAATTCTCTTCATATCTGCTTCAGGCATGGTAAAGACGCTTGGGTGATCTGTTGAAGAAAAAGTAACTTGTTTTAAATGTAGCAGTAAGTGATAACATATAATCATACAACATGCCTCTACTTGTAAGAATACTGAAAAAAAAGGTAAAAGAAATTCTTCCTCTAGTTCTAACTGTAGCCTYGTTAGTCAGCATCAGGCTGGACTARACTGAAATGAAACTTTATCCTCACTAGGAGAACCAAACTAGATTAAAAATGAACATTTCTGTATAGGTTTACACAAAATGCTTATCAAGAATAAGTATAACCTACTTTATTTTTATTTWAAAAAAAAGGAAGAGGAAACAGATGGTCTGTAGCCTCATCAGAACTATTTCTTTACTTTTGCTATACTGCATAACTTTGAGCAATGAACCTTTGTCATTGTCACAACAGTATCCAGTAGCAGGTAACAGTAGCAGTTACTACTGAAGTCACTCATCCTCTATTAAGAACATCTTAAAATCTGCTCTTCGTTAAAATTGATTTAGACAGGCACGCAGAGTGCCTGTAGAAGGCACAGACAACTGTAATAATACTTGTACCTTTAGAGATTTCATCAAGCCCATGCAAACTCGTTGAAAGTTGTGAGTAGTCCAGTTCATCTTGAAAAATTCCACTATCTTTTCTTGATTGTTGACAAATTAGAGGTCCACTCTCTTCCCTCCATCCAACTAGTGGCTGCTGCTCAGTATTTTCTTCCATGGCTTTTGCAAAACAGGTACAGCAGGGACTAAACTTCTTCATGATATATTGATTCACTTTAATGTCAAAACACAGTACCAGAATATAACATCCATATATAAATAACAAGGAAGCACTTTCATACCTAGGATAAGAAAGGAATTTTACATGATGTGTAAGTAATGGAGAATTAAAAAAAAAAAAAAAACAAAGTGGCTCTATTTACAAAGAACTAATTTGTTTGAGTAGCAAAAGGAGAATACACAAAAGCACTTACTTGTACTTGCATGGGCAGTGTCATGAAAGTTCATGAGTGTCTCCTTATATTTCATCAGTTTGATTAATTGCCCTACCCTGTTGAGTCTTTTTTTGTGTGTTGCATAGCTGCATGTTTTCTAGGGGAATTTGCTGACTTGAATTCATATTTTCAAAAGTCTTCATGTGATGGTTAGAGAGAGGGAGACAATATATGATATTTTGAGTCAAACTTCAGAGATCTGGTACTTGCTGACTTGCTAGGACAACAGGAATTTCAGTGTTGACTGAAGGGAGTTAACCTCAGCAGCTCATAAGCTACTCCTGGCACACAAATGTTTCTTCGAAGAGCGATGCCATTGAAGG